TAAGGGGCTGAACTCAGAACCATGGATCAAGTCCCAGACCTGGCATCTTGCTTTCTCACTTTCCCTTTCTCTCTTTCTCTCTCTCTTTTTTTTGAAAGCAGCAATGAATTTTATGTCAAGATCAAGACATTTTCAAATATATGAGGAACTGAAATACTTCTCCCACATATCCTTAAAACTGGAGAAAATACCACAGCAAAACAATACAGGAATCCCAACACATCCAATTCAGAATGAAGGTAAACAGAAATACAGGTGTGCTTAAGAATTAGCCTGGAGACCAGCAGATGGTATAATGGCTACGTCTGTGGACTCCCACGTAGTCAACCATGGTTCGAGTCTCATACCCGACAGCTCAAAACTCACACTGGGCCCTTGTGTGTGCCCCAAATCCCAGGAAGAGAATGGAGATATAATTATGGTGTGGCCATCCTCTGGAGGGTTGATTTCTTGCTCTCTTGCCAGTGTGCACCCATGACCTATAGCAAAAAATCTCTGAAAAGAATTAGCCTGAAAATATCCTCATTTAACAATCACATGCAATAAATATCACCCACAGATCTAACATGTTATCACTGGGTGAAAAAAAAAAAAATCACTGAAGTAATCTCTTGAACTGGCTCAGACAAATTCAGGGCCCGAGAATAGCTGCTCTGAAGCCAGTGTAACATGTCAAATTTTCTTTGAGTTGAGGCTAGCATTTGTAGGGAGGACTGATGGAACATCTGGAAACAAGTTTACATAGCTGGAGTTTTTAACTATCAACAAGAGGTGGGAATGTAGGAGCACTAAATCCTCCTGATGGGAAACTGGTCAACTCTGGGGAGAACTGAGTACAGCAGGAACCTTCTCATGGCATTTTAGGATACTATTTGACATTTTTAACTATATATATTGATTTGACAAAATATAAAAAGTCAAATAAGTGGATACAAAGAGAACAGGGCTACTTTATGAAAATACTGAGTTTATTTCCCGTGTATATTTTTGTCTCCCCACCATTTCCATGTCTGACCACCACTACTCCTGTGTCCTATCATAACATTCCATACATACTCAAATCCAAGCAAAGGGTGGAGTTCCATCTTTAAAAACTAAACGGGCACTTTGGACAACACATTCTTGGCAATAGAACCTGGACAACATTTATCAAACACGGCAGGGAAAGTTCTCACTCTGCATTAGAAAAAGGACAGCCAGATATCAACTGTTACAGAAATGAAGTAAGACGGAAACTTTAACAAACTGTTTAAACTATTTTCTGAAAGAGACTTCCTCCGCTGCCAGAGATCTTGAATAGCCTCCTGATCAGTCATCCGGAAGCAGTTCTTGACATAATTGATAAACTTGGCTTCTACTTTGGGAAGGTGCTTACATTTTTGCTTTAATGTCTTCTATAGAACTAGGTCCTTTGGGTGTTTTAGGTGTTTTTTCCTGTTTTTTGAATGATTCTTGACCTTTTGATCTTGGTGTTGATGGTTTTGAGTCTTTTCCATTCTGGTTTGATTTTTGAGCATTTTTGCCAGGAGCATCTCGTATAGATTTTTTCACTGGAGCTTTTTCTTCTGTTTCCTCATCTTCAAAAATGTAATCATCATCATCTTCATCGTCATCATCTTCGTCAGCAGCAAGTTTTACTTTTTTCTGTGGAACCTTCCTACCACTTCCAGGGGCAGATCGCTTTCCAGATATACTTAAGAGTTTCACGTCCTCTTCCTCTTCTTCTTCTGACTCTGCATCTTCCTCCACAGCTACTAAGTGCTGTCCACTAATATGCACAGGCCCTGAACCACACTTCAACCTTAAGACCACAGGTGGTGTTATTTCAAAGCCCTCGAGGGAAACTGTTGGCTGTACAGACATTTTCAGTGTTGCCAGTGTTACTTTCATTGGACTGCCTTCATAATTCATTGCCTCTGCTTCAACAATGTGCAATTCATCCTTTGCACCAGCCCCTAAACTAACCGTTCTTAAAAATAACTGGTGTTCATTTTCATCATTATCCACTTAAAAGTGATCATCTTTGTCGGCCTTTAGTTCACAACCGAAAAGAGAGTTCCGGGGCCTCCGGGGGCTCATGTCCATGTCCATCGAATCTTCCATGGGGTGGCAGCACGCACTTGGGTGGGCGAGAAGGTGGACGGAGGTAAACGACTACGGCTCCCGAAAACAGCCGCGCAGGACGGAATCACTCCAGGGCTCTTTCTCTCTTTTTAAAAAATATTTATTTATCTAATTCCATTTGTTATTATTATTATTTTTATTTTACCAGAGAGAAACAGAGAGAGAGAGAGAGAGAAAGGGAAAGGGAGAAAGCAAGCTGCTAGGTCCAGGACTCAAACCACGGTTGGCCATGGGGGAATCCAGCATCTTTAACCACCACGCCACCTGCCGGCCCTCCCTTTCTCTGGTCAAAATTAAAAAAATAAATAATAACAATAAATAAAGTAAATAAATAATTCTTTTTAAAAAAGATATTCAGGACCAGCAGATAGTGTAATGGTTATGTCACTGGACTCCCACACAGGTGACTGTGGTCTGAGTTCCAGACCTGCTGGCCTAAAACTCATGCCAGGCACAGGACCAGCAGTTGGCATAATGGCTATGTCACTGGACTCCCATGTAGTCCACGGTTCAAGTCCAGGACCGGTGGCTTGAACTCATGCCGGGCGCATGTGCTGGGACCGGAGAAGAGAATGGAGGAGAAGGGATGGTCATGACCATTCCGGGGGTGGGGGGGGAGTGGTGGTGGTGGTGATTTCTCGCTTTCTGTCTGTCTCTCTCTGTCTTTCTGGAGAGCACATGTGCCCTATAGCAAAAAGCTCTCCAAAAACAAACAAAAAAGATATTCATGTTTCCATAGACACTAAAGTCCTTGAGGATGGTTATTTCAGTCCTCTTTATGGCCTTAGAACTACAGATTTAGAACTCTGCCTAACACAAAAAGGACTCTTTATTTACTATGGCAGGACTTCACAAACGTCCGGAGCTTTGCACATCCTTACCTTCCCACAAAATCCTACTGAAGCTTGAATTCCTCCATGATGCTTTCCCTGGCCTCTCCAAGAGCTCTGACTCCTGATGCCCCTGAACTTAACAAACTGTATTTTAAGAGTTTAAACAAGTAACTGCCATCAATGTGAACATTTCCACCTTTTCTTCCTAACAGCAATCCTTTTCACGCTTCCAGGCCCTGTCTAAAACTTACCTCCTCTAAGTAACAATCTGCCGGTTCCTTGAATTCTTGTTTTGAACTCTCAGCACATGGTGCTTCTATTCCTTAGCGCTTGTTATTCTTTCATTTCAGCTGTTCACTACTGCTCTCCGTTCCTCCCCGACACAATGCACACTCCTAGGAGCCGGGACAGCGGTCTCAACCGCCTGACTCCCGGCTCTTCAGCACCTGGCACTGCGGTTTGCAGACGCTGACCTAAGAGCAGCTCCGGGAAGCTCCCGCAGAGACAGGGGTTTACAAACACGTTCCTGCCAGCACATGTGCACTCCCACCAGC